TGGAAACTGTGCACATGGTTGAGGAGATTTAAATGACTAATAGTTAGCAATGTGATTGAATGTTAAGGATTATGGTAAATGTCATATGCCATTCAAGTGTAATAACCTATCAACACAAAGTAAAACAAATGCATTGCTCACTTCTATTATATATTAAAGGGAGGTGGTTGGTGCACAGCATGGATTTTGTGTAAACAATGTATTATACACCTGTTGTACATATAGCTATGGGACCTGTATGGAAACATTATGTGTCGCCCTTTAAAAAATAAACATACACTTACCTTCAGGTACAGTGGCTGAACGTTCAGCAGTTTTAGCTTTCTTCAGTGGTGACTGTTTCACGACCGTTACCTTTTGTGGTGACTGATCTAACGGAGCTACCGCTTGAGGAGAAGGCTTCAGGGGAGTTGTTTTCTTTCCCACATTCTCGTCATCAGCGCTCTTCTTCACCTTATTCTGCTGTTTCTTTACTTTCTCTTTCGGTGAACCTGGTTCACTAACTTTTACGTCTTTCTTCGGTGCGGGTGATGGGGAGGGTTTGCGTTTGGCACTGTCATCTGAACTGATATGTCCATTACTGGTTGGTTTTTCTTTCTATAAATGTGGTTAGAATGAAATGTATCAAAAAGATTAACTCAAAAACTAAAATGTGGTTAATCCAAACTGAACCAGCATCTAAATCACTGAAATGTGATTAAATTTTAAGTGCCTTAAATTCACAGATGTCACATGTGTTTTACATGCTTTACACAGAATGGCAGCTATGGTACGCAATAGTCCATGAAGACCACATACTGCAAACTTGCATGCTTTGTCTTAAGCTGTATATTTCACTAATTTTGTCATATTTGTTATTCCCTACATGTCAATCACACTTAGAATGATAACACGGTACACAGTCAGAAGCTAGACTGAGTATAATTCTTGTGGAGATTAGCTACTTCACTAATTCAATATTTGTCTACATGTACCTCAAAACAACTTAATTTTGATTTCCATAATGCACCATTTTGAATGTTTGTATGTATAGCGTATGCGTATGAGAGGTCAAACTAACATGACCTTTGTTTTATCCACTGACTTCAGACAACAGATGGTTTTCTAGCAATATTATTGTGTTTTTTAAGTCTGTTATGCAATGAAGCCATTTTCTTAGGCGTTTTTTTCTGCCAAATTTTATTGTCTTCAATATTAAGGTAGAAGCCATATTTTTTTAACAGTTGGTCATAAATCGCATGACAAATTTCATTGGTTTATTGCGTAAAATCATGAATTTATTACCCCATGGCACTACAATAGCTTTCTCGTGTGTGCTGCAGTGACATATTTTGAGAAATTTGTTTTAATATTTTTCAAAAATCACCATTTTTAGAACAATTGAATAGAACACAATTTTAAAACCCCGATTTTTGAAATAATTGAGAACAGCAAAAAAGTACCCCATCATTAACAATATACAATTTGTTCAGCCAATGTCACCAGCCTGCAATTCAGATATGTATTATCTCTGCCATAGAAACCTATATTAAAAGCACTATAATACCTGTACTGCCAAAATGACCACTATCCATTAAAATCCAACAACTGTTTTCTCAGTGACTTTTTTTAAGTCAATATCCAAATTGCCCAAAATACAATTTATTGGAAAATGAATAAATTCTAGGCATTTGAAATCATGAGTAGGCTTCTAGCCAGTATTAACAACGCATATGTCTAGATATTTCTAGATATTTTTTTTTCAATGTTATTCACCGTTACTTTTATTTATATTGTCATTATATTGTATTGTAACAAAATATGAATACAACTTGGGTTTTGTGTTTCGTCATTGCACGTGTCAATTTGAAACCTGTACATCACATTTTTTTTTTTCAATTTAAAGACACGTTTATATGAGTGAGAATAGGAAAAAAGAAAAATTGTTTACAAAATTTAGAGTTAGTAAGTATAATTTGGAAATAGAAAAAGTAGACCCAAAACTAGCAGCGAATGACATAATATATCAAAATGTCATAAAATTTTAATTGAAAATGAGGAACATTTCTTGCTATAATCCAATAATTTTTTTTTATATGGAAGTGAATGCACAATAAAATGATGTTTAATAAATGTTGAATGATCATAATACAAAAAAAAAATTAAAACACGTCACCACAACGTTCCCTGGGATGAGAAGTAAACACTTTTTTTCATTGACTTTAGAAATGGAAAAATTACACTACTCAAATTAACGACTTTCAAGCTCTATTAAAGTTTTGTATTTTGTGTTTTTACTAATTTACATAAATGAAAACATGTGATTATTACACAAAGTCATTGTAAAATAATATCCAATTTCGTTCACTGTTATTCATCATGTAAGAAATCTTTCAAAAACCAAAAACAAAATCTTGACTGTGCCAGTCTAATGCCTGCCAATACACACAGGTAACATCTGGATAATAAATTTTATGGTTGATTACCCAGAGTTGGGAAATACTGAAACTGCCAAAGATAATCCACTTTTCACATGACACCGTGTATTATTCATAAGCATATTTGCATAGAAGTATCCATGGCTTATAATAGGTGAGAATGATGTACATACACACACAACTTCTTCACAAGGTGTTACACACACACACAATAAAACCCATCAAATTCCATTTGAAAACAGAGCTGTGTCAGGATGGTCTGTTTGTCACCATGGTTTTCTGTTTGTTTCTCAAAATTGTAATTGAAATAGACTTATTCATTGTTATCACATGCTTTCATTTTCACGCTGATATCATGGTTCAGAATAGGAACATCTAGGGTACTTGGCAGTCACATAACGCATTCAATCATTTGTATGACCTGTTGCTACACAGAGAACACTTGTTCAAGATGGCAGAGCTCGCAAAAGTTCGGCATCTATTTTTTTTATTTTAGGCCTCAGTAATAATAGTTTTTAGAATTTATGTAATTATATTACATAAAAAAATTAATACATATATGTTTACAAATATATTGAATAATTGCAGCAAAATTATGTGCAGTGGTCATCATGCAATTCATGTTGAATTCTTTGCAAATAATGTATTTCATACAATGTTGACAAAATCATTAACCTTCCACTATGCAAGAGAATGAAATCTTAGTGTCATGGATTTGTTAAATACAAGTATACTTATGTTTTAATCCACTTTTCCCAGTACACGCAATTAGTTTTTTGGATTAAAATCACAACACAGGTGGACATCAGCTTTAATTTGAAACGACTAACCTGACGATTTAAAGAGAGCAGCTGTCTTCATTGTTTAGATAGAAATATATTTGCAAACTGATTGTACTTTATAACAACAGTTTGGACCAACAGCTAAATAAAAGACTAGCAGCCTCTTGGCTGAGATAGCTCCCCAGTTAGCAATGAACATTTCAATTAAAGAAATGAAGATATCATTAGAAAATGAACAAATCTGAGAGAGGTCTATCTGTAGTACCTATATATATAGTATGAAAGGAATCGCACTTGCGGTTTTTCACAATAAGTCTAAAATATCACTTTTTACCAAAAAATGACAAAAATATTCATCAAAATTAGAGAATTGAAGATATCATCATGAAATGACCTGTAGTACCTATATATATAGATATATACATATATAATATCAAAGCAATTGCAATTTTTCACCAGAAGTCGAAAATATCACTTTTCACCTAAAATGGTCTACCCAAGGTACATAAACAAAAAGTGTAGATATCGTCACGAAATGAATAGTTCTGGATATTACAACAACAATCTGAATAGCGATTTACAAGATTTACATTTCTAATTGCAAGTGTCATTTATAAAAAGTTGAACACAGACATTTTACCAACTGATCATGGTTGGTTGATTAAAAAATTGTACAGTAATATCACGATAGTATATGGGACACATGGGAGTCACTTTCCCATTCAATTAATCATACATTGATCACTCACTTTATATAGTTCAAAACACATTATATAATTAAAATTGTCATTAATATTGTCAGGACATAAGGCAGTATATGCCTCCAGAGATTTCAGATACTAAATATCACCTGTTAATGGATAGTGCTACCAAGCATGACTTAATTATGGATTTGTGTGCAATATAAAAATGACAGATAAAGTAGTCTGAGTACTTTATTCTCTCCCCAATAAGTCTGTTATAGAGACTTAAATTACGATTATAGTCAAATAGATCCATTTCTCTCTCTCAGTGGAAATTTGTTATGGATTTCAGCAATAATAGTGTCCTTAAGTAAAATGCTCAGTTGTTATATACTGACAATTATAGCAGCCAGGCGCTCCCAGGATTGTCACTGAGAGATTGTTACTACACTACACTACACTACACTACACTACACTACACTACACTACACTACACTACACTACACTACACTACACTATACTACACTACACAGCACTACACTACCTACACAGCACAGCACAGCACTGCACTGCACTACACAGCACTGCACTGCACTGCACTGCACTGCACTACACTACACTACACTACACTACACTACACTGCACTGGCACTACAC